TATTTTTGTAAATCTGTGTGTGCCAATTCTTCACACTCTTAGAAAGTCTTAAGAGTGAAATCTTACTGAATTCTCATTCATATTTTATGTATTAAACTTCATCTGAGTGATTAGGAACACTTAAATGGTAAGCCAGGACTTTGTTTTACCGAGGTATAAATATGAGGTTACGCACAGGCCAAATTCCCTTGATGCAATGATGTGCAACAAAACATTGTTGGGCTGCACAAATCAGTAAATAGTTAAAAGAAAACAGCTAAACCCTTAAAAACACCCATTTCCACTATCAGGGCAATAATTAAGATGTTTACAGCAACCGGAAATGTTAAGAATCTGCTGGGAAAAGGACGTATGTCTATACTGACCCCATGCACAGTGAGGAGGATTGTCTGAGTGGCCAGAGAATCAGAGCTGGGGCATTTCATTAGTGAGGTCTTTGGGTCAAAACATCTCTGAAACTACCATCAGACACAACCTACATAACCACAAGTTGTTTGAGAGGGTTGCCAGTAGAGGTGCAATGGTACAGTAGGCCCACAAATAGGTATCACAGATTTGGCCACGGTAAAGACATGTTTTCAGTATCTTTATTTAAACAAACAAACAAAAAAAAAAATACAATAATTTTACAGTCACTAAGTTACTAAAAACATCACCCTTTAAACAATGAACTCTTTCTTTTACCTATAGGCTAATAAAACTTTCCATTTAGAAAAATGGCACCATGACCGACTGGGCCTGGTTTCTGTCTTTACTGTATGAAACTGTATGGTGGTTGGTATGGTGTAGTGGCTAACACCTCTGGTATGGTGTAGTGGCTAACACCTCTGCCCTCTATGCTGTAGACTGGGGTTCTGGGGAAATTAAAAGTGCTTCTTAGCTTTGACAACCATTTGCTGCTGAAATGTGTGTGGAAGGGGACACTCTAAAGGCTACCGCACACTAGGCGCATTGCGTTGTGTAGCGTTACGTCAAGTAGCAGAGCACTGCTATAAAATGATGGCAGGTAGAGTACATAATAGCCAGGCTCAAGCTCATTTTACACACTCTACTCATATAAACTGAATGAAATAAAGCATTTAGCATCACTTATTATGCCTGGTATCTGTTTACTTCCTCTTCACAAACAGGCTGTTTTCAAGCTGAAAGATACAAGCTAAAAAAGGTTAGAACAATAATGTTAGCTGAAGTAACTTACCATTAGCATTTGTCTGTTTACCAAAAATAGTGGATACTGCAGTCACAAGCACTGCTGCACGTCAACATGGGATGTCAGTGCTGGTGTGCATACCTTTTTTAAAAACAAGGTTTTGAATTTTTGGATGCTGTGTGACACAGCATGTCCAGCGCGTGTGGTGGTCTTAACTTATAACTGTCTCGCTAGCGCTCGCCATTGTCACGTTAGAACTGAGGGATTATTTGTTTTCAGTTCCCCTTCTCCAGTTTATATTTACATATAGAGTGCTGCTAGAGAAATTCTGATAGGCTCCACAATTTCACGCAAAAAGCAAATTTTGGAAATTATAGGAAAATAACAAGCATATCATAACAGCCCGGTTCATGTGCGTATTAAACTGTAGGGGGCGTACCGAATGATTAGTTAATATACCGTGTACCACTGCATGCCTAGTTGCCAGAAGTCTGCAGTTAAGAACCAACAAACTTGAGCACCAGACGGTACTTAAACTTCCAGTGCACAAAACCCCAATAGCGGTCGAAGAACATTATCCTGTCCTCCACCAAACAGTAAAGTTACTCTGCAAACAGTTAGGTAGCATTATCTTATCTGCCAAACCCAGATTCGTCCGTCAGACTGTCAAAAAGTGAAGTGTGATTCATCACTCCAGAAAACACAATCCACTGCTCTGAAGTCCAGTGGTACAATGCTTTACACCACTGCAGCCGATGCTTAGCATTGCATATAGTGATCTAAGCTTGTGTGTAGCTGCTTGGCCATGGAAAATCATGTAGTGACACTCCAGATATACGATTCCTGCAGGTTCTGCTTCCAGAGGCAGTCCGGCACTATGTAGAGCAGGGGTCTTTAATTAAAATTCAATAAGGTCCAGTTAGAGAAAATTTCCTCAAGCAAAGGCCCGAAACATCATAATGTCTAACTTGCATCATGATTCAGTGCCATATACTGTATACTGAAGTAGTCTAGTAGTTATATTAACATCTTTTGCAGTCAATAACAATGTTAAATCAAATAAAGTGAAATTCAGTAATATTTCAACAACACTTATTGTAAGTTTTCTCTTTTTAGAGCACGTCATGTGAACTTCCTTCTGACTCACTTTCTTCTCCGACTGCTGTTTCTCACCTCGTCCCTCCCCTATGTGTGCGACACTCACTCGAGTCTCAGTGCTCATCGTAATACACAGATCTGATTGGATGAGTAGCGTCACGTGTGATAGGTACAACGCATGCAACTGGCCTGTGAGTTTCCCGGCCCGCTAAAGCGGTACCGTAAAGGCTAGACAAGTTATGTTGATTAAAATAGGACAACCCCATCAAAATTTAATAATTCTCCATAGCATATCGGTTATAGGTCCAGGTCCGCATAGGACAGCGTCTGGGTCTGGACTTGGACCACCGTCCGCCTATTAGTGACCTCTGATGTAGAGAGTAATACAACAAAGGTGATTTTTTACATGCTACATGCTTCAACATTGGGAGCCCTGCTCTGTGAGTTTGTGTGGTCTACCACTTCGGGGCTGAACCGCTGTTGCTCCTAAATGGTTCCGCTTTATAAGAATAAAACTTACAGTTGACCGGGGCAGAACTAGCAAGCCAGAAATTTCATGAACATAGAAAAGGTGGCATCCAATGGCAGTGCCAGTTTAAAGTCACTGATCTCTTCAATATGGCCCATTCTAATACCGGTGTTTTTCTAAGTAGATTGCATAGCTATGTGCTGGATTTTATATACCTGTTAGCAAATGGTTTTGCCCATATTTGTGGAGTGCATTGTGTATGAGAAGTGTTAATATATCCCCTTTAACCACAGGCTTTTTATTCAGTTATTAATCTTAAAGGGGCATTCCATCCATCCTGCTGTTTAACACTGCATGCACACTGACAACAGCGACAAGGCAGCCGGAAGTCATTCAATTTGAAGTCAGTGACACTAAGTGGCAAGCTGCAGCACAAATGGGAGCAGCACAACCAGAAGGGACACAAAGAACTTTAGCTCTGCATAACTTTGTACAAATGAGCAGTGACGTGGGGCAACGTTAACCAATCGTCCCATAGAAAAACTCTGCATTGAACTTCCGGTTGAAGTGGGGGAAAAAAAAAGACGACATGTGGTACAAAGGTGTCTTCTGATTTTGTAATGATGACCATAACAATGAAACTTTAAGAGATAGTTCAGCATATCCTCACTGTGAACTAAGCCTACGTTACAGGCCAAGTTAACGTTCTTGTTTAATGGATATTAAAGAACATATATAATCTGTATGACAGATGCAGGTCACTTGTGTTAAGAATGTGAGGCTACTAAGCATTTCTGGGTAGCTGGAGTATAAACTGAAAGAAAAAAAAACACAGAGAAGTGAAAAATCATAAACTTGTTATCTTAATTTTTAAAAGCCACTTTCAAATATTTTGCTTTATGTGGTGTTAATTCGAATTTGCAGCCTGCCAAGTGAGGCTGGCCGATTTTATTACCAGTGGTGTACATACACGGTAATAAGTTATTTGTTGTGTCATGCCAAGCAGTATTCTGTATCACAGAATTGTATTCCTCACCCTCATCAGTTTTATATAACAATTTTATATTTTATTCATGTTCTTTGACTAAAATATCCAGCTTTCATTTTGCAACTTCATAGAACCAGAGGGAATCCTGACAGCTAGCCTAGCACCTGACCATTATGCATTTTGCAAAAAGTGGTTAGTGGTTTATGAAAAATGTACTGATATGTCTCAGAAAAACTGTGTATTTAGGAGTGTGCGGCACTTCAAACCAGAAAACTACAAGTGAGATCTAAAAGCTGCATCACTGGAATGTCTAACAAAGCAGACTAAAAAAACAAACTGTCTTTATTCAGCTCAAACTGGACACCCCTGAATAATTGAATTTGAATTTATCTTCCTTGTAGTTACAATAGTTACCTGGCTTCCATCTGGCTTTCATCAATACTTTTTACATTATGGCTGGAGCGTACCTTTAAAACTTTTTAGAAGCTACTATAAATTATTCAGTAGCTATTCATTAACTACAATTACACTAATATGCAAGTTATGCAGTTATGAGAGTGAAAAATTTAAGTGCAAAATCAGATACAGGCCCTTGCAGTCTAATGAATTAATGATTATTCAATTCAATAAGTTTTTGCTCTAAATGTTTACAGCTCCTAAGTACAAGCACTGTCTAGACCTCTAATAATAATAATAATAATAATAATAAAGAAGACTGATATTGATCCTTTAGTTTATTCTTGAGCTACCTCTTCCATATCTCTCCATAAAGGCTAAATGCTGTTGCTATGCTACCGGCAGCACACCCAAAGCGATCCCCAGCAGATCAAGAGCATTTAAATACACAGGGACTCAGAGATAGCTCTATGTGTGTACACACTGCAAACAGGTATGAAAAAACTGAAGTTGAAATTCACATAGACTAGGAGACATAAGTTTGTCAAAATTTGTACCATACAGACAAAATACTAGCAGTGTGACTTATCGCAACATATGGTAATTGACATTATTAAAGACTGAAAATGTATTATTTTGATCAAAACAATTTACATTTTGATAGCTAGAAAATTACATGAACACCTTGATTCGTTCTAAACACCCACTGCAACTGTGATTGGTCAATATGCTCACAAAACGTGACTAGTTATAGGGCTCATTTGTATATTGCAGCCTTCTGCAATATCAGTTCTGCAAAAGCCAATTTTATGATAAGCATTAACTAACAGAATATTGTTCAGCTCTCCTTTGAATATCAGTGTGTTCCATTAGGCTTTGTGAAACACAACCCAACTTACCCTCATAGCAGTCCCTTATCGTGTCAAAGTAGACGTACTGGTCATTGGTGAAGAAGAGGAGGCTGAGCCATTAGACAAAGGCATAGATGGACACAATAAAGAGGATGTGCCTTACATGTCTCTGCTCGTTAGGAGAACTGTGTGCATGTAGATCTGAAAAGGGAGAAAGGTGCATTTATATTCATAATACAAATGAATCAGACTGGTTTTAACGAAGTGGTTTCCCCTATAAGATTTAAAGCTACGGCCAGCAGGATTTAGACATGAAATTATTTTTCCAGGGTGAAACGCCTTTGTGGATACAATTTAAATATCAAATTTGTAATAGCAGTACATAGTAGGACAATATACTGTTTCCCAACTATTACCAAAATATTGGGTTTTGCAATACTGGTATCACAGAAAGCTATAATATGCAAATGAGCCCTCTAACCAATCACAGTGCTTTTTGTTTGTTTTGTTTTTTTTGCACTGTGTGCTGTGATCATACTTTGTAGTGTACTGTTTAGTGTTTAACTTCTTTGTATAGTCTACTGGCTGTAGCTTTAAGTAATAAGTCAATTAAGTTAACCCTTGTGTGGTGTTTATGTTTTTGTTACTCAGTAGTTCTGGTGGACCCACTCCAATATTGTTTTTTAATCATTATAGCCATAACAATTTATGTAAAAATACCAGATGTTTAAAATATCACAAGTGGCCAGCATAGGGTTCTCCTTTAGCAGCTGTAGCCAGTCAGGAGCCTGTCCATTTGTCCACCCTCACACACATGCACACATATACAAACACATACACACAGACACACACAATAACAGCAGGCCATGTATGAGAACACAGAACACGTTTGGGCTGGCAGGGGCCGCCGTGGCTGGAGATCCCGGAGCCATCATAGCAACCGAGACCTCCCCAAAGAATTTTGTTAAGGGCACGTCACATCACCACAGACTGTTCTTCTAAAGCACATCAGAGATACAATCAACCTACCTTGATCATACCACAGTATTGTGGGCATGGAATAATGTTATGTGCTTTGGGGTACCCTAACTGACATTGTGCAAAACTATTCAGAATTTAATTTATACATCATAGAAAAGATGCTAAAATGTGTCCAAATCTTCCACTGCGATTTAATCCAAATTAATATACAAGCAGTGACCCATTTCCATGAAGGCCCAAAATGTTGAAGGCATATTACAAGCTACAAGGGGTACAAAAAAGCAAAAGAACAGTATACGCTGTTGCAAATTAACTTACTAGTAGATTTAAATGGGTCAGTGACACAGTGACAGTATTATTGCCATAAAATCATGGATGTAATGTCCTATAATAAGTTAGCCAAAGCCATAGGCAGTCTTTCACAAAATAAAAGTACACAGCTTATGTTGAAAATAAGGAGCTAAAATACACAACAATGAGTCACACTGCCTGGTTAAGGACGTGGCTAACTGCACTGGCCAGAATAAGAAGGCCTATCAAAGAAAGAACAAGGCCATTTTCCCTTAGCAACCAATAATTAACAAGTAACAAAATACTGACAAGTCCTGACACTAAATTATTCTAAAGCAGGAGAAGGTGGGTAACTCCAGTTTCCTGCACATTTTAGCGATTTTCCTGCTCAAACACACTTGATTAAACTGATCCATTAATTACCTGGTTTTGCTGGAGTGCTGGAAAAGAGAAAACACAACACTGCCCTAGAATCCACCCCTTAGTTCTCCACCCCTGTGTAAATCAGACAACTACTGACTTCTGGTCATTAGGATGGACAACTAATCTCTACGTCTTTTGTTAACTAAAAGTAAGCAAGGTGAGCAAAGAAACATTTTGAATAAATATTTTCTGGAAGGTCGAACCAATGTTAAGAGTAACTATTCTATGTAATTATTTACAAATCCAAAATACTAAACAAACGTACACAAAGTAGCTAAGAACAAGTTAAACACAAAATTTGCAGTTCGGAAAATACCTCCCACAAAGTTAAATAAAAGTAATTGTCCATAGTCCCATCTAGTCTTCTGTTGTACATAGCTGAACATCCATCCATCCATCATCTAAACCGCTTATCCTTCTGGGTCACGGTGGGGTGCTGGAGCCTATCCCAGCTGTCATTGGGCGGAAGGCAGGATACACCCTGGACAGGTCGCCAGTCCATCGCAGGGCAGACAGAAACACATACACGTTCACACACACACTCACACCCAGGGGCAATTTAGCACGTCCAATTGGCCTGACTGCATGTTTTTGGACTGTGGGAGGAAACCGGAGTACCCGGAGGAAACCCACGCAGACACGGGGAGAACATACAAACTCCACACAGAAAGGACCCTGGTCACCCGGCCGGGAATCGAACTCAGGCCCTTCTTGCTGTGAGGCAACAGCGCTACATAGCTGAACAATTAAAAATTAATTCAAACAGTCAAATCTTTCATTTATTCATTTTTGATGTAGTAGCTGGATTGACTCCGATGGAAAAAACAGCTTAAATTACTAAACTGGTCAAGCTGGTTTAAAGCTGGTTTAGCTGGTTAACCACCTTGGTCAGGCTGGTCTGAAGCTGGTTTAACTGTTTGAGCATCTTGGTCAAGCTGGTCAAAGCTGGATGACGAGCTTGCCCAGCTGGTTAGCGCTGGCAGACCAGCTTTGTTCCTGAGAGCTGGCTGACCAGCTTGGCCAGCTGGTAAGAACTGGTAGACAAGCTTTGTTTAGCTGCTCAGAGCTGGATAACCAGTTTGGCCAGCTAATCAGAGCTGCTAGACCAGTTTGACTAAGTTGTCAGAGCTGGTAGGCCAGCTTGGCTTTTTGGTCAAAGCCGGTATGCCTGTTTTTCTAAGATGATGGGAGTTTGCTGAGTTGGCTGGAGGACTTGATCAAAATAGTTGTGCTTGTTTTCTTATGTGTATTTATATTTACTTTAAATACACCAATCCAGCCACTTCAGTCCACCTCCTTGTATCTACTCTATTTGCCCATTTTATCAGCTCAGTTTACCATATAGGAACACTCTGTAAGTTCTGTAATTACAGATGGTAGTTTTTAAACACCTCGGTGTGTTTGGTGGACTAATCTCAGTGTGGACTGAGATTAGTCCACCACACAAAAATATCCAGCCAACAATGTCCTGTGACCACTGATGAAGGACTAGAGGATGACCAACACAAACTGTGCAGCAGCAGATGTGCTATTGTCTCTGACTTTACATCAACAAGGTGGATCGACAAGGTAGGAGTGTCTAATAGAGTGGACAGTGAGTGGACACAGCGCTGCTGTGTCTGATCCATTCGCACCAGCGCAACACACACTAACACGCCACCACCACTTCAGTGTCACTGCAGTCCTGAGAATGACCCACCACCCAAATGATACCTGCTCTGTGGGGGTCCTGACCATTGAAGAACAGGGTAACAAAGTATGCAGAGAAACAGATGGACTACAGTCTGTAGAAAGTGTACCTAAACGATATGTGGAGGTGATAAAATGGACAAAGTGTAGATACAAGGAGGGGTACTTAATGAAGTGACTGGATGGTGTATATGATATATATGATATTGATATATCTGTATTACAGGAAGTAAAATCACTGATATCTTTATATTGGACACTTCACTGCAAAATATATATATATAAATAAATAAATAAATGTAAATTGTTAAAAGTATAGCATAAATGCAACAGAAGATAAAAGATATGTATAGGCACATGCATGTTATTGTCTCATGAATAATAAGGAACAAATGAGGTATTCTGGTATTATTGATTACTTAGAAGAGAGAGAAAAACATGCTCACATATCCTGGTTGATTATGCAGTGTCATCTGACTTTTTAATATGTAAATTATTTAGAATATTTTACGCACCGCCTAATATAAAGTAGAAACAATTCAGTGTATAAATATGTAGGACTATAAATGGCTTTCAGTAATTATAACTAAACATAGGAAGTGTATGAGGTGAATATGTACCTCTGAAAGCTGTGTTATGGCATTTCTGATTTGGCCCGACTGCAGTACGAGTCTGTTTGGCGACTCGAGACTCGGTTCCCTGAGACGTATAATCCGATTCACAGTGATTCGAACGCGTGTCTGGGCCTCATTCTGAAGACGGACGCTGCCGCGTCTTTTAAACTGTTTTTCAGTCAAAGCGCCGTAACTGACACTCTGCTTGCGACGGGTTTCACTCATTCCTGGTGAGTAATGCTTGTGTTTTTGTATATGTTTCTGTTTATTTTCCCGTTCATTAAGCAACACCGACTGCCTAAGAATGAGCTGATGTTTCTGGAATGTTTCTAGCGCTAGTTTTGTTTTTAGGACGTATCTGTCGTTTCGTTTCTCTGGAAATATAACGCTAGATAGCTAACGTTAGCAGGTTAAAGTAGCTGTAAAGTTAGCTAGCTAACCTAACTAGCTTACTTGGTTTGGTAAAATCTGGCCAGCATTTTCTTAGCTAATTACAAGCAGCTATAATTTAAAGTAAGCATTAGCTTAATTACTTGTAAAGTTACCTTCATGTCTTATTAACGTTAATTTAGCTTATCGGGCTTTGCCATTACAGTATCAGTCATTCTTTTGCCAATAGGATAACTACGTTAGTTTGCAAGGCTAACTTAGCTCGGTTAGCTAGCTTGTTAATCTGCTCGTTCATAGCTAACTAGCTATAATATTTAGTCTGCACGCACAGCGAGTTTTTTCAGAAGTAGCTAGAGATGCTCTCATGTGCCACCCTAAAGCAAAACACATGCTCAGTGTGGCCATGCGTTTCAGATTTACAGATTTAGATTCAGGACCACCTGGAACACTTAGCTGGTTAGTTCTCTTTAATTTACATAATGTCTGACTCAGGTGTATGATAGCTAAAGTTTTAATATCAGTATTTTTCTAAACATGCTGTATTACAAATGCTGTTAGAAAGTCATTTATTAAAAATACATGGTCAATTTTTAGCATCAATAAACATTTAAAAATATTTAATTCAAACTGATTATGGTCACTATTGTGTTATATAGCATTTTGCAAGTTTATATATTAAATTAACATTATGTGTATACATGTTCAGTACAGTATTTGTTGTACACTATGAAGCTAGCCAGCTAATCCCATTCTCCTGTTTTTTTTTTTGTTCATATATTAAACTTGTAGGAGGAGAGAATTTGCCAAAGGCTCTTGTCCAGTTACTGAAAAGTTGGTTTATTTAATTTTTTTAGGTAAGTGTAACTGAATTTATAAAGCTGTTTGTTACAGCTTGAAATGTTCTGCTAAGCACTATATATGGTTCAGCTCGGCTGAATGCTACTACCACTGATTAGTTATCCTACCATCAGTAGCTATGCAATGTACAGTTGTCTGTTTTTAAAAATGTATATCCTTCAGACGTTTACTCACAGATTAACACACATCAGATTTTTTGTCAAAGGTATATTTGCTTGACAGTATGCAGTTGTCATATGCATAGTTTGCCTTATTTGCAAATACCCAGATTTGTGTAAAACAAAGCATTATAGTGCACTTTATTTTAACATTATAAGCAGCTTAGGGCAGTTCTGGACAGTGCAGGACAGCATGGCATCATACTAGGGCTGGCCCAAACAACATTTTACGTGCTTTTAATACTTTTATTATCAATGTAATACTTGATTACTCTCTCAATATCGACCTTAAAACAAATATATTTCAATGTAATACTTAATAATAATTTTAATTATGTTCACTTTGTTTTATAATCAAAATATAATATTTATTATGACATATTTACAATATATATGTATGATTACATATTCAATTAATATCCAATAGTTTGACTGTTTATACATCCATTTCTAAGATGGACCTCCTAAAGATGCCATTAGACATATGTGCTGTAATGTTGTGTCAGATGTGGAGACAGATGAGTTTAACTGGACTTTTACTTATCCAGAGAGTAGCAATGATAGAGAAGTTCAAGGTGTAAAACTATTAAATCTTTTCTCTGTTAAGTGAAGTGTATTGATGGTCAGCTTAACTGTTTTAGCCAAGTTTGTACTCCACTGCTTACTTTGTGGTCAAAATTGATAGATGAAAATAAATCTCGTCCAGGATTGATAACTCATTTCTGTGTTTTATAGTAAATTAGTATGGATTTGTGACCGTTTATACCTTATAGGAATCGGCTAAACTCGTTATCTAACCTGCTATTTCTGTATCAATCTCTCAGCTCTCGGCTAAACAAGTGGGTGAAAAGCTGTTGGCTATTGTCATGTGACACAAACTCATCAGGGTATGCGTAGTTCTGAATTTGCATTAGTAAATGTTTTATGCCTTCCTGCACTGTCTAGTGAAAAAGTGCTGTAAGATTACTTGTGTCTGTGACTATCTGAGATGAATATCATAATATATTTTGTAGAAACCAAATAATCATAAAGCAGTAGCAGGTCATTGGGCCAAATCTAGGTAGTCTTAATAAGTAAAGTTTTCATGAGTTCACTGATTACACACTTTATAGCCATTGTAATTATTATGTTAATCAAACAGTCTGCCTAATTGTTTTTTGATTAGGAACAATTGGAGCTCATCCAGATAACAGGCAGCTCTACACTGCACAGATGAGCATTCCACTGTACACTCTAAGCCATTAACAAAAAACAGGTAAGAATAGTGGAACTGGACACAGGTTCTCTGAAGTGAAATACTACAAGTAAGGATAGTGGAACTGGACACAGGTTCTCTGAGGTGAAGTACCACAAGTGAGGATAGTGGAACTGGACACAGGTTCTCTGAGAATAAATACGCAGGTGTGTATAGTGGAACTGGGCGCTGGCTCTCTGAGAATAAAATACCACAGGTGAGTATAGTGGAACTGGACGGTGGTTCTCTGAGAATAAAATACCGCAGGTGAGTATAGTGGAACTGGGTGCTGACTCTCTGAGAATAAAATACCACAGGTGAGTATAGTGGACCTTCGTGCTGACTCTCTGAGAATGAAATACCACAGGTGAGTATAGTGGAACTGGACGGTGGTTCTCTGAGAATAAAATACTGTAGGTGAGTGTAGTGGAACTGGGCGCTGGCTCTCTGAGAATAAAATACCGCAGATGAGTGTAGTAGAACTGGGCGCTGGCTTTCTGAGAATAAAATACTGTAGGTGAGTGTAGTGGAACTGGGCGCTGGCTCTCTGAGAATAAAACACTGCAGGTAAGGACAGTGGAACTAGACACAGGCTCTGTCAGTTAAATAATACAGGTCAGTCTGTCTGTCTGTTACTGTTAATACAGGCTGTTTCTCTTAGTTGGTGTACAACTGATGAGTTTAGTGGAACTGTTCAGAGCTTCTCCTTGTGGGCATATTCAAGGTAAATCACAGCACAGCTTTAAAGGGGTTCTGAGTTGGCAGGCCCTGGAATACTAATTGTAAGTAAGTAATGAAAATCAAGCTCTGGTGAAATTATGTTTCATTAATATAATATATAAGTGTGATCCCCTTTTAAACAGATTGAAACTGGGTATGGGCATCACAACCAGAAAACAATTCTCGATGCATCTTGATTTATTTACATGTGGGATTTCTATAGCCTCCATTATTATTTTAATTTTATGTTGGTATTTAGACATACAGGCTTTTTTAAATGTAATGCTGAGAAAACAGTGTTATTTGATCAAAAAAGCAACTTATAATGCCTGCTGCTGGAGAAATTTCAAACTGCTAGAAGTGCTTGTGTAAATGAATGAGTTCATAAGAGAAACTGTGAAGTCTTATATTTTCATAATTTTACAACTCCTCTGAACCGTTAACACAAGCTGCACAGAAATTGCTTAAAATTCACCTTAGGTGGTATGCTGCACTCTGGGAAACCCCCACCATATTTTTACTTTGTATGTCCAGGATTTTCCCTGACAAGTGCTGAACAGCTTGGACAAAATATTGCAATTTTCTGACCATATTGAGATTTAAATTACAATTAATAGCTTGCCATTAAAACATATGACGACATTGGTGATAAAGCATAATTGAAATCATATCTGTTGCAATTTGAAAGTCTCACTCTTTTAAATTGTGATTTCAATAAAAAAAAAAAAAAGGTCATTCAGCCCTGCCTATGCCCAGCATATTTTAGGAGGTTTTTCTGCTGCTCTGATTAGTTATATCAGGTGAAGTAGAGCAAAACAATAAATATTAATGACAGGACAGATATGGAATACCAGGGACATAAAGGCATAGATGGTCTAACTATTAAAATTGTTAAACAACAAAATTATATGTACACCACCACAAGTAAATTGTGACAAAATAAGACTTTATGGCAACAGTTCTCTCTACCAGTGGCACTTTTGCTGCCCCAGTACAGGTGGAGGATTGAGCATCTCACTCTTTTAATGTAATAACAGTTTGTCTTTTACAGGTTGTTTCCTGAAGAAGCTGAATCTATGGCACCAGGACATCTGAAACTGGCAAATACATCACTGAACTATAATTGACATTAACCAAAAAAAAAGCAAAAAAAATAAAGTCAGCAGTAGATAAGTAGACACACACACACACACACAGACAGACATATATTTAAGTACCTATGTGTAATGATGTGTTATATTTCTAAGTACCTGTATGTAATAACAATTTCTTATATTTATTATATATAATTACCTGTATGTTGTAATAACATTATTTAACACATTAAATGTAACTATAAATAATAACGTGCTTTGTATGTGTTATATGTAAATATCTATGTAATATTACTATGTTCTTTATTTATTAAATACAATACTGTTGTGCAAGGCATCTTAAGAAATTATTTAACCATTTATCCCAGCAGTAAGTTTAGTTTTGTCTGCAATTAATAACGTATCTTATTGTGTGCTAGTTAGAGATGAAACGATATTAAAATTTCATATCACGATTATCATGACCAGAATTATCACGATTATCGATATTATCGCGATACTGTTCAAAAGCGTTGAAAAGTAAAATAAATAAATAAATAAATACTGATACACAAACTGAAATTCGTTTCACCATTACTATTATTATTACTGTTGTAAATTATTATCATTATTACTGCTGTAATATTATTATTTATATTATTATTATTAATTACAATAATTAGGGATTTCCCTGCGTAGAGAATTAAATCTCCACCAACTCTGAGGTGGGTCTTAATGGAAAATGGGGGGGGGGCGGAATTCTGTCCTAACTGCAACTGCAGCATTATTGTGCCGTTGTGACGCTGTACCCCTAATCAACACAGTGCACCAGGAAAAACAGCCAAAATCACAGAGGAATTGCATGACCGCGCTGTGAGCTGCAGTGTAGAACTCACACAGTGTGTCTCCACCTGTTGAGCTGCTTCTCTAAAAGCATTTTAAAACTAAAACATAACTTAAAATTAACATGCATCTGAGCTGTGGCAGAAACACTCCTGAAGTTTAATCTCTGAAACTCTGCTTTTCCCAAAAGCGGCACACAGCGTTTACTCGCGCAAGGTCCCGTCTCAAAGCACACTATCTTCCCTATGTAGTGCACTTCGTAGATCATGAAATAGCAAATCCTTCACCCAAAGAGTGCATGAAATGTTCGACTAAGTCATCTATAATCAACATTAACAACAGGTTACAAATTCCCTATTTAAAACTCAACTGCTTGTTAATGATGATCGTGTTTGTTTGAAAAGTAGCGCACTATGTAGGGGACACAGTGATTTGAGACAGTTATTCTCTTCTCAGAAAGTAAACACTGCAAGCGAGAAAGGGGAGCTGTGCAGATTGAACCTCTGCAGCGTCTCGTTCCAGAGCTTGTGTGACTGTTAACTCGGAGCTCATTTTGGAGACACTGCTCCACAGAAATGTGTTAAAAGCTTTAGTTTCGATTCACAGTTGATTCACCGATTTTGACGCTAAAAGCTTCATTTTATATTATTAACGAACCATAAGCATAAGTTAAGCCACACAAACCATGACCTTTCTTCTATTTCGAAGTCTCCACAGACTTCTCTGTTAAAGTTAACTTTGCATTCTCTAAAAAGTAGCAGGTGGTGGTCGCGAAGATGACTCGTAAGGTTTGATTTGTTGCCCCCTTTCGCCGCTATTTTCTTTCGGCCTGTTCTGCAGACAGGGTGGTCATCTTCAATTAACTTTCCTTCTGCATCCTTATAAAACCCAAAACATGACCAAACGTCAGACTTGGTCTTCATAGAAGGCTGAAATATCTCCGAATCTCTGTCACTACATTCCGCCATGTTCTCTCTTCTCTCCCTCTCACCACCCCCCCCTTCCCCTCTACACACGCACACGCGCGCACACACACACACCCACACACACAGAGCTGCGTCTGAGAGATGATTCTGCCTTTGTTTGACTCTGTAAAGCGAGTTTTTCACACCGCGGTAATCGACCGCGGTTTTAACGATACTTTAAAGTTCAAACGGTACTACTAACGGTCATTAATTTTACCGCGGTTTACCGTGAAACCGGTTACCGTTTCATGTCTAGTGCTAGTACTTATTGTATTAATGTGTAAAGTTTAAATGTTGTATATCATCTCTATCAGACAAAAAAACTTGTATCTTAACTTTTAATTAAAATTATAGTTAAAAGATTTCATGATAACCAACTTTGCATTATTTCCTTTTTCATTATTAACAATGTAACTTCCACACAATGTAAAGGGCAGCTGGAGTTTTTATATAAGGTTTTGCTACAACAGCAACAAAATGTTTTTTTCTATTACAACTTGAGAATGTATCCTCCTGTTTATCTTGATCACCAAATCTTGCGAAATATTGAGTGCATTTACATTTAATAATCTGTTAACTACAAAAAATCGGATTTTGTCAGTAATCCAATCAACGTGTTTACATGCTCTTGCGTAATCAGATAATGAGGAAACTCCGGGTCTACATGAGTCAGTCAATAATCGGATTTCTGCTTTGCAGCTGGCCAATAAACTCACAGAATAAGATGTGATGTAAATGTAATGTAAAACTCAAACTTCATGCTGTGGCTTTCTGTAAAAAAACATTGAGTCACTTCACCTGAAAATATGAACATACATCATCTAGAAGATGAAGAAGCATGTAAACACACTCTTTGTCTCCCTTGAAGCTGGAGTTAGATTTAACTGGTCAACCAGCATGATCACCAGCTTTCCAGCTGGAGCTGGACTTAGGTGGTCAACCAGCTCAGTAACCAGCTTACCAGCTGAAGCTGGACTGAGCTGGTCAACCAGCACAATAAACCATCTTACCAGCTAGAGCTGGACTGAGCTGGTCAACCAGCACAATAAACCAGCTTACCAGCTAGAGCTGGACTGAGCTGGTCAACCAGCACAATAAACCAGCTTACCAGCTAGAGCTGGATTTGACTGATTAACCAGCACAGTTGCCAGCTTGCCAACTGGTAGATGGTCATACTGGTCAACCGGCTTGAGCTGGTCAAGCTGGATTTTCCAGGCTCTATGAAAGTCTGTAAATTCTGTTCTCTTAGGACTGACTTCTCTAATTTTAATACTACCAGCATATAAACATACTTCGAAGTTTACACAAACTTTTTACTGAAAGATATGCAGTGATATTACAGAATCCTGAAGGTCATCTTGAATCAATAGTTTATGAATAGCACGGACAGTAACCAGTTGTTTTTTTGTTTGCGTTTTTTTTGCTGCGGACTGTAGGTCAACAGTGGCAAGTTATTTGCACATTATCAAAGCATTTTTGCTGTATCTGAAGGAACCTGTGCAGAGGAGCATGGAAAACGACAGGCAGAGCAGACTGGGCCCTACATCCTCAGAGAACCACGGTAAAGTTAGTTTTATGTTCGATATTCGTGTTTTCGGCACTAATAACATTTGATCGGACAACGGTAGTCAGTAAAGACTTACATATTCATGACAGTACGACCACAGAGAGTGATGCACACTTGTGCTTTTGCAGTTTGGGTGACATTTAACGTACCGCTCTTTTTGTGTTAATACCATAGAACTGAGATATGTTTTTCAATCGGAAGAAAAAGCATGCACTTCTAGACCACGCCTACATCCATGCACACGCATTTGTTTTCCTCCAAAGCGTTTCTGTGCATTTAAATACATATTTTTAATTGTTCATGCTAACAATAGACACCGTCAGACAATAAAACGTCAATAGCTCCATAAACACTGTGTCCATACATGTCTGATTAATTGTGTTATTTGCTCTAAATTATGGTTAGAAATACACACCACTTTAATTTAGAAAAAGGACTTGGAATTAACCTGTAACTAAAATGTACTTGCCAATACTTGTCCTAACAGTACTGAGCATACCTTACCTGTAAAAACTGATATTACCTGTATACTGATATAGCTAGTTAGCTTGATGACAGAGGTTCAGTAATTGTCAGACATTAGCAGTCTTGAAGGTTCAATAGGTCCTTAACCATCTAAAATAGCAGTTGAAATATTAATTAATTAGCTGTTAATGCAGCTGAAATATTATTAAATTCAAAATATACAAAAATGAATAAAAAGTAGTTACAGCAATATATTCAAAATTTAAAGGCTGTGCATCATTGCTGACCCCTCACTGCACCATACACAGCTGTTTTTAATCCAGCCTTTCGATTTTGGATATAATGCAATAACTACTTAATATTAATTTTTATTTATTTTGAACTTCAATAATATTTCGGCCATCTTACATACAACACTAAAAATAACTGTATATGGTGCAGTGGGGTGTCAGCAATGATGCACAGCCTTTAAATTTTTGATATACTGCTGTAACTACTTTTTATTAATTTTATGTATTTTCAATTTCAATAATATTTCAGCTAAATTATATACAACATTAAAAACAGCTGTGTATGGTGCAGTGAGGGGTCAGCAATGATGCACAGCCTTTGAATTTTGGAATATATTGCTGTAACTATGTTTTATTAACTTTTATCAATTTTGAATTTCAATAGCATTTCAGCTGTGTTACACCCAACACTACAAACAATTGTGTATGGTGCAGTGAGGTTTCAGCAATCATACACAACTTCTGAATTTTGAATGTACTGCAATAATTACTTTATATTAATATTTGTATTTTAACCTTCAAAAGCATTTCAGCTGTATTCATTGCAGTGAATGCTGCATTTTGAATCTAAGCAGTATTTTAGCTACATTATATCCTCAAGTAAAAAAGTTTTTGTGTCATTACTGAAACTTTTCTGCACCAAACACTGCTGATTTAAATGTTCAATGTCTAAAATGTTATCGAAATTCAAAATGAAAAATAAAATTAGATTATATAAATAAAAGATTTAAAACTTAAATGTGACTCAGTGTTTGATGGATTTAAAAAACTTGATTTGCAATTTGATCCACTTAAATAAGACGTTTTCTTTTCTACACTCTCATTTTTTAAACTAATATTTTAGATGGTTAAGGATCTATTGAACCTTCAAGACTGCTAATGTCTGACGATTACTGAACCTCCGTCATCAAGCTAAACAGCTATATGAGTATACAGGTAATATCAGTTTTTACAGGTAAGGTATGCTCAGTACTGTTAGGACAAGTATTGGCAAGTACATTTTAGTTACAGGTTAATTCCAAGTCCTTTTTCTAAATTAAAGTGGTGTGTATTTCTAACCATAATTTAGAGCAAATAACACAATTAATCAGACATGTATGGACACAGTGTTTATGGAGCTATTGACGTTTTATTGTCTGACGGTGTCTATTGTTAGCATGAACAATTAAAAATATGTATTTAAATGCACAGAAACGCTCTGGAGGAAAACAAATGCGTGTGCATGGATGTAGGCGTGGTCTAGAAGTGCATGCTTTTTCTTCCGATTGAAAAACTTGTCTCAGTTCTATGGTATTAACACAAAAAGAGCGGTACGTTAAGTGTCACCCAAACTGCAAAAGCACAAGTGTGCATCACTCTCTGTGGTCGTACTGTCATGAATATGTAAGTCTTTACTGACTACCGTTGTCCGATCAAATGTTATTAGCGCCGAAAACACGAATATCGAACATAAAACTAACTTTACCGTGGTCCTCAGAGACATGGCTGTGTGTTTATTTATCTGCCTGCGCTGAACAGCGCTGCTTTTAGAGTAGCTTTCTGTACAGTCCTCACAAGAGCCATAAGAATACACACTACAGAAGCTTGATACTGTAGCTAAGGATATTATTTTATCGGTTTTATCAGAGATTGCTAAAGCATACCTTGTGAAATTGCTCTCTTTCCAAACGTCCTTTATGAGCGTTTGCTCTGCTGAGAACTATCATCCATCAGTTGAGAATTAACTAGTTGCAGCCATGAAGCCAGCGACAACCCACGGAGAGCGTTCCCCCGCAATGGTCTTGCCACTCCTCCCTACTTTCAAAATAAAAGTCAGTAAACGTGTTGTACTACTGCAGCTGATCTTTATTATATGCTCATTAAAATGAGAATAATGTGAATTGTCAACATTTCTGCATAATTCACCTAATGAGATGTAAACAGTCAGAAGCCGTGGTCTAATTTGAAACAAAGCTCTGTAGAGAAACTTACTCAGATTTCTTTACAATGCGATAGTAGTTGTGACCACTACAACACAAATACATTTTTTGCTATACAAACCATGACCACTGCTAACCTACACGTGTCTTCTGAGTTTTATATGCAATGTTGATAATGGTAAAATCAGAAAGTTTTCTTTGGGGACTATTTAGTCTTACAGTGCCCTTATTGGGACGCCTACACATTACACTTGCAGGAGCTTTCATGACATCCCATTGTAAATCCATTGGCATTTATATAGAGTTGGTCCCCCCTTTGCAGCTATAACAGCTTCCACTCTTCTGGGACAGCTTTCTACAAGATTTTGTCTTTTGAGTGTGTCTGGGGGAATTTTTGCCCATTTATCCAGAATGGTATTTGTGAGGTCAGACACTGATGTTGGATAAAAGGGCCTGGCTTACAATCTTTGTTTCAGTTCATCCCAAATGTGTTTAAAGGGGTTGAGGTCAGGGTTCTGTGCGGGCCAGTCAAGTTCTTCCACACCAAACTCCCCCAACCATACCTTTATGGACTTTGCTTTGTGCACTGGGGCACAGTCATGCTGGAACAGAAAAAAGATTAAGGGGGCTAAGCAAACCCCTGAAAAACAACCCAACAGCATTATACCGCCTCCACCAAACTTCACACTTGGCACAATTCTCCTGGTACCAATTCTCCAAACCCAGACTCGTCCATCAGAGAGAAAAACATGAATTGTCACTCCACAGAATATGCTTCCATTGCTCAAGAGTCCAGCGACAGCATGCTTTACACCACTCCATCAGACGCTTGGCATTGTGCTCGGTGATGCAGCTGCCATGGAAACCCATGCCATGATAATAATTGTAAAAAATTATAATTATAAAAAATTTTTACTTTAAACTTACATTAGTGGTTCCCAAACATGGTCCTGGAGTCCTGTTTTCCTGCTCTAATACACCTGATCCAACCAAAAAGCTAATTAACAAGCCTTTTCAAAGTTAAAGAGGATGAGTTAGGGCAGGGAAATATAAAAATAGTACAGGGTAGTGGTACCCCACGACAGACTTACATACGTTACAGAGCAACTTAGTTCATCAGATAATTGGACATATCCATTTATTTATAAATCTGGGTACTATGGCCAAACATGCCAATACAGAACTCCTTAGATTAAATCCACTTCCGTATGCCACTATTTTCTACGGGTTTTACATAAAGACTCATAGGCCAGCAGCCTATGTTTGGGATGTTATTTAGATTTTAGATTGGCTAAAAGTAACCACAAGTCTCATTAACATCTCAGTTAATTTCTGAAAGTAATCACTGTTCTGGTTAACATCTCAGTTAATTTCAGTGTTGTCCATGCTATGCAAATACAGAACAATTCTTTAATGTTTCATTGCATGATTAGTTCAACCTCCAACTAATAAAGCAACACTGAAAATTTAATTGAACATGTTAAAATTCTTATGCATATAAGTTTAAACATAAAAAAGATGTTTTTCGCTATACCATCTACATCAGCATGTAAGACAACATACAACACTTCTGTGCGTGTTAAAGTATGTGTGCGAGCAATACATTTATTTGGACTCACACTTAATAAACAATCAATTTTAACAATCAAAGAAGTTATTCCATGTCATTTTCAGTATCAGTATTTAAGACCACACCGGAATAACAGTCAAGTTGTGGGCAAAAGTCTTCAATTCCAGTAATCATTTCTATGCCTGAGACTTGTGATCCAAGGTTTTCTTGTACTTAGTGGAGTCATGCTTCTTTATCGGTTGTTTCTCATCCAAATCTCCAGTAGCTTTCACCATTTCAGAGCAGTCAGGTTGTGGATCTCACTGTCCATTGCAACAGAGTAGTTACTGACTTTCTGCCCCTCTCCGCAGCTTCTGTTTCTTCGCTCCACTGACTTATTTAGAAAGATGAATACAAATGCTTTAGGGGAGTTGTTTGTTGAAATCCTATTTAAAAAACACAACATATTTTAGCCAAAACCTCAAATTATGCCAAACCGCAAATTATTGTAAAACCTTTCATATTATACCATTATTCTACACACTACAAAACACTACAAATTGACAACTGTGATGTGATTTACCTCCTAGAAAAGAATAAATGACAGCAGTTGCCAAGCTCATTTCCCCATGTGCTCAAATGGCACACTGACCTGAGGAACAATGAACATTGTATCAGAAACAAGAAATAAGCCATGAAAGGGTGTGTGTTACTGTGATTTTATCACAGGAAAGGGTGTCCTAAAACCCCTTTCAGCATAATGAAATCACAGTAATGCATGCCTTTGAGTGAAAAAAACAATTTAGTAAATGATTTATTATTGATAATAAATGACATAGTATTTTGCCAAGAAATGTAGTTTCTTTATAGTATTGTTACTAGAAGAATGTTTGCTTACCAATCGCTGTATATTGTGGTCATTTCATGAACATTTTAACTTTGTCGTATAATGATGAATATTTGAAGCATTGTTTACTTTCTTTTAGCCTGTTATCTAGTTGAACAGCCTGGATCTAGTTAAGAAAATAAGTTGTCAGACCCTCAGTTTAAACAAAAACAGATTCTTACTTCATCAGTACACTTGGTGGTCTACGCAAGCAGCATTAGAATCAAAAATTGTTCTTTTAACAACAAAAATATTTTTTGTGATGTGGTGCAGTAATACAGAATTCAGTTGTTGTGAGGTGGTTGTGAGGCTGTGCATATACTGAGTATTTTCAATGGCTTCGAATGCAGCTCTGCCACTCAGATTTTAGGACCTGGACTATCCTTATCATGCTCACTTAAAACTTGTTTGATACAAACAACTCCACTTTGTGAAACATGGTTGGGTTAGTGTGTGTAAACATTAGAGGCTGGGTTAGCGTGGGAGAGTGCGGTTAGTGTACATACTACAGGCTGATTTAGTGTTTTGGGGGTGATGACTAGGTGAGTGAGATCAGTGTAAATGCTGCAAGCTGAGTTAGTGTGTTGGGGGGGGTGCGTGATGATGGGGGAGTGAGGTTAATGTAGATACTACAAGCTGGGTTTGTATATGTGGAGGGGTCATAAAGGGGGAGTGAGGTTAGTGTAAATGCTACAAGCTGGGCTAGTGTGTGAATGGGGGGTGTAGTGGTGATGGGGGAGTGAGGCTGCATGTGCTTATGTGTACCTGGGGGGGCGTGATGCGAATCTGATCATGGCGTAGGGGAAGATCAGGGGAGGCATTAGCTGGAGCCCCCCGGTGCAGGCGCAGGCACACTCTTCTCTCTCGCTCAGCCCCCCGCCCAGCTCTGGGAGACACGTTCCCTGAGAGAGGAAACACACAACACAAACTACTATAATCAGCACAATCAACACATATAATATAAAATATTCTGGAGAAGACAAAATGTTTTTACTTAAAAAAATGCATTGTGAATAAGCCAAGTTGGCAAATCAGCTGAAATCAATACGGGTAGGCTTAAGTGTGAAGTATATTTTTATTCATAATTGGTTGCTCAAAAGGCAGTTTTTTACACAAATAAAATAAAAGTCTATGAATTTTCAGCTGTTACATCAATGTTAAAAGCTTTACTTCTCTATGTCAGTGTTTCTCAAACCAGTTCTTGTTTTCCTCTATGCCAGTTACTAATATATCTAAACCAATCCTTTCAGATCCTTAATCCCTGGTATACAGTGCCATAAAAAAAAAGGTATTTGCCCCCTCCTGATTTACTCTATTTTTGCACAAATGTCACACTAAATGGTTTCAGATCCTCATATAAAAAGTAACATAAAACAAGCAAAACATGAGAAAACAAAACACAGTGTTTAAATGTAACACCTATATGTTGATTTTTATTTTGGGAGCCATGAACACTAAACATCTCGAAACAACATAAAATAATACAGTACAGAGTGACCTGCTTTTTCCATCTTACAGAAACAATCTATGTTGATAAAGCTCTTCTCTAATAATCACATATTTTCATCAGCACTGCAGTCACCATGGCAACGTTTGCCGCTGTTGGCTGCATACAAAGTATGGAATGCCCTTTTTTTCAACGCAAACGTGAACACATCATAAGTGATGGAGCTTCTCATAGCTAATCTTTATTTATCTATATTTTCCCTCTGTAGAAATATCAAAATTCTCTAGCATACTTAGTAACATATCAAGACGTCTTCTTCATATTTTGGCTTTAGCAATATTCTAACTTTTTCACTTTTTTTGCGCAATTACGAATTTAGCAAAAAACTGTTGGATGCACCATGTCTTGAGGAAATATGGTCTGATAGACATGTGGAGGCCTTATTATCCTAAGGAAAAGGAATTGACATATTTCTCCTCCATGATCAAATTCAAAAGAAACTACACCACAGAGGAATTCGATTTGGCACGCTGTACCCTGTCAGTTCAGGATCTCCTCAATGCAATGAAGTAAGACTGGCAAATTTCATTGATAACAATGTTTTATTGATAACAATGTCTGGAAGAGAACTGGTTTTGTAATTTTTGTAGCTCGATTCCAGTTAGAAATGCATTAAGGATTTCAAAAGTTTAATCATTTATCCATCAAGTTTATTTTGGAAAACGATAAATCATCTTTTTATCGCTACTGCGATATGAGTTTCCATGATAAGCACATTGTTACAGCTACAATAGCATAACAGATCAAATCACCTCATAAATGCAGCTCCAGAGAGACGTCATTACATTACCAGCACAAACCAATAGAAGCCCAATGAGTGCTTTTCTGCACTGGGACTTAACTCTATTCTCCAACATGGGAAATGAGTAACTTAACCATTCAGCCAAAAGGCCAATTACAAAACATGTGTTCAGCTTAAAATCTGCTCCATCTGCTAAACTACTTGCCTGTAACAACCCATCAAACATTAAAGTTGTTCTCAAACACAGTACTGTGCTTTAAGTGTGTGAGGCAGTAACGACTGTCACAACAAACTTTTTGTGGCATGAGAGGTTTCCCCAAGAAGCTTGGGAGAGTCAAGGTTATAGTCCATACTGCAGCTCTGTTGAAAAACTCAATTCAAAGAAACAGTTTACAAAGAAAAATGAAAGCTCTGTGTTTAGCTTACAGCTTGTACTTAGAATACAACCCAGCCCAAGCTGTTAGTGTAGCTCTACTTTGTTTTCAACTCACTCCTTGAATCTTACTACAACAATGCCTAGTCAATTCTAGCCCCCACTCTTAGGAGTCCTTGCCAAGAAACATGCATTAGGGGGTTTGTAATTAATTTAATTAACCTAACCATAACATAACACTCTTTTTAGAACAGGATATAATGACTTTAAAAACTGCACTGAACCCAGGCGCGCACTGATGCCACAATGTTTAATAACTAAAAAAAAAATAAAGTAAAACAAAACTGTGTACTTGTGCCTATCTAAAAAAATAATTGTGTATTTATTTGTTTTTCTTTTTAGAAAAAGCTGTAAGGGTGATGCTGACTGTTTCTCAGCCTTTTAGTGCAAAAAAATGTGCTTGCAGTTCTGATGTAAGTAGCTGTTAGTACTACATTTCATTTTATTTTGCTCAGTAGCGAATGGGGCTTTTGTAATTTTGTATTCTGCTATTTGCTTAAAGGAGAAGTTGGTTAGATTTCTGTTTACTCAGCAACTGTACTTGCATTATATCCTTTCAGAGGTGCACTATTTTAATAATAATTAACAATTTATTACTTCACATATTGTCATTGTGACATCTGGCAGCTTTTTGAACACTGCATTTTATGTCAATATTGTGCAGCCTTATGCCAGGGGTGCCATAGTTGCTTTACTGGCAATGAGCTTACATTGTTCAAATAATGAGAGAATTAAAGGCGCACATGGTAAAAGTCGCCAGTGTGAAAGTTTTCTGTTTGCTTAAAACAATTTAGAAGACCTCTGATGTTCTGATGAAGTGGTCTTGTTCTGTTAAATTTGTATGCAAACCCTCCAGTTTGTGTAAAACTTAATGGAGTTTAAAGTCTCAGATATTATGCATTTCCATTACTAACCTAAAAACATAATGCATGCTGGTCATATAAAAAATTGCTCATGGAACATCACATGAATTTGGTCTGATAAGATGTGTGGAAGCTTTATTATCCTAAGGAAAAAGAATGTACATATTTCTCCTCTTTGCACCAAACTGACTATTTCCTCACCGACAGTAGCACGGTAGGTAATATTACTGATTGTTCTATTGGGGATCAGGGAGAGAACAAATCTTTGTTATTCTCTGATATTGTAATCTCAGTTGCAATCTTGGCAATTTCCCATTTGAAGATTCTCAGCTTTTCACTTACATTACAAATGAACTGAACATATTTCCATCTATCAACAATGTAGATTCCATGGACCCCTCTTTAATTTGGGAAACTTCATATTCCAGAGGGTTAATAATCTTTTTTGTCTCCCAAAAAAAAGAGAGAAAGATATAGTTGGGCCCAGATTTAATTCTAAATGCTTGCTCACTTGAATCCTTACCCAGCCATTTGATCAGCAAATCCATCTCTTCACTTGCTGACAGCTCAATGTTTTCAATTGTGTTGATTAAGGTCTCCCTCCAGGCTTGGTAGTGTTCAGGTAAGTCATCAAACTTTGTCAGTCCTGAAGAAACCAGCTGGTTCTTAGCAAGACATTTGGCAAGATCAGCTGCTGCAGCATTATGATTTGTGTTGGCTGAGTGCAACAGGTTGTTAGGGAGACCATGTTGATGGCCATAATTTCTCTGCTGTAGTAAATCTGTATGAAGCTGCTTTGTGTGCCATTTTTTGGGGAAATTGTTCTCCTGTTGATGATCTGCGAATGGGCTCCACTCTGCCCAGTGTAGTCTTGATGGGTGGTGAGTGTTGGAGGCAAGGGACAATAAAGGTCCTTCTCCCTCTAGGTGCCTGGGTGAATGGTTGAGGTGTGAGCACTAGAGGTGGGGGGTAGTGAACGCTTTAGGTGTTTGTGCAAAGTGATGCAGGGTATGGTGAATGACATAGTCGTCAGTTCTTTCTTGATGGGGTAGGATCTCAAATTCTTTAATGTGATTAGAGCTATTCATATCTGCTGCTGCTGTCTCCAGCACTAAAGCTTCTACACGGGCAGCTTCAGCTTCTCGCTGAAGATTGATGTAATCAATTCTGGCTTCCAGCTTGGCTTTCTCAATTTTGAGTTTACACTCCTTTTCTGTGAAGGCCAGTCTGGCTTTGGCTGCCTCTGCTTTGGCATGGGCTCTTGTTGCGTCTAAGCTGACTCTAGAGCTTGTTGATGAGCATGATTTTCTGGAGCGATTGTCAGAGAGGACTGAACCTGTTTCAACACCATCTTTTGAGCCTTTTACTTTGTCTTCATCTGGAACCTCTACTGGCTTGACTGTGGTTTTCATGGCAGTGGAAGCTTGATTATCTTAAAATCCTTCTTAAATCCCACAGCAAATGGTCATCTTTTTACTATGCTGTCCTCGCTAAAAGTTGTTGCAGGTGTCGTATTTTCAGCTACACAGCTAACTTAACATTATATTCTCCAGCCCTGCATCTTTCAAGGAACAGACAAGTTGTTGTGTGTGGTAGGATTTCATGTAGGAAAATATGTATTTTGTAAAACAGCGAAAAAGAACACAAAATACAACCTGGTAAACTGTAAACAGTGCAAAACTTACAGATGAAGCCGTTTTGTGGACTTTAAGGCAAAGGATTTTGAGGATTGCAACGATGAGATGCTCACTCTATGTCCACGAAGAAAAATGTGTTCCTGAAGACTACTTCCTGTTCTTCTAATTATTCTCTATTAGCTCACTTCCTCTTCAGTGCAGCTATAGGTGTCACTAAAGAGCATACAAAAACACACTATAGCAAGACATAGCTGTTACAAATACAGGAAATATCTTGCTAGGTTTATCTCAAGGAGAAAACAGTCTACTTTTACAGTAACAACTGTGCATGAAAACAAATTCAGGAAAACTCTGAATAAGGACATCAGTGAGGTCTTTAAATGGTACTATGGAAACCTATATACATCTCAGTGTCCTAGCTTTGATTCCTTAATGTCTTCTTTCTTAGACAGAAGTTCACTACTTTAAAACATCCAACAGAACAATAACTTAGAGAAGCTAATAGGAGCAATTAAAGGCCTCCCAAATAACAAAAGCCCAGGTTGTGATGGGTTTAGCATAGATTTTTATAAAACATTCTTAGATGTTGTTAAAACTTTAATGCTTTGTATGTACAAAGACGCATTTAATAAAGAAATCCTCCCACTGTCCCTAAGATCATCTAATGTAAATGGCATACTGAAAAAGTCCAGAAGATCCAGCTTAATACAAACCTATCAC